TCCCCAGCCCTGTCCCCCCCACTACCCACGCCCAGTTCCCCGTTCACCATCTGGCAATTGGAGCCTGATGGCCGAGGGAAGGGACCAAGAGGTCGGCTGTTCCTGCCCACTTCCCGGCCCCACCCCCACTGCGGGTTGCTTTCTATGTGTGGGGTGACCATGAACAGTGGGGTGGGGCCTTGGCCTGGTGCTGCCCGTGTCCTTGCCACCCACCCCCGGTTCCCCTTTTACCATCAGGTGATTGGAGCCTACTGGCCAGGGAAAGGGACCGAGAGGCGGTCAGTGCATCTCATAGTGACTGGAAAAGCTCGGTCCTTCCTGGTTCTACCATTAGGGTCAATTTGCATATTATCCTTTTATTATATAGGATTCCAGTTATTTATACATTGTTTCTGGCATGTGCCCTGACTGGAGATTGAACCCACAACCTTGGTGTATCAGGATGATGCTCTAACCAGCTGAGCTATCAGGCCAGGATTAAAGACCTTATAGTTTATCATAGGACTGCTGACCCGCAAATATTACAGTCTTGAGTGTCCTGTGTCTATGCCCCTCAGGATGGTCCAGATAAATTCAGTTCTGGTAGAGGGCTTGCTGGGCAAGTATTCCTTTAGAGAGAGAGATGAGAGAGAACCAGAGAGAGACATGGGTGATGGGAAGCTCAGCAGAGACTGATGCAACAAATGCCACCCCCTGCCCTGCCCACAGCCAGAACTGGACTCTTACCTGGCCACAGATCCTGCTGAGTGGGGCGGCAATGCAGTTGGACTTTGTGCCTGGGACCTTAAACCTGACAGTGGCCCGATTCTGAGAGCCCCAGGACTCAAGGCAGCAGTGCTGGAAGCAGGGCCAGAAGGTGCAGCTGTGGCCACAGAGGCGGGTGTGGTTCAGGGACAGGACGGTGCCCTCATCACAGCACTGCTCCAAGGGGTTGTAGATCTCATCCCCGCACTTGGGTGCTGGATGGCACATCCACAGACCAGTATCTGAACAAGCCAGAGCAGAATGGGCTCCAGGATGGGTCTTAGACCTTGGAAGCCTCCTCCCACTTAAAGTGCCACCTCCTCCCTCCTCCTTCCACCTTTCTCACCTGTGAGTCCTTCTGAGTCTGAGAACAGGAGTTCAAAAATGAAGACGGCAGCTGAGAAGCAGAAGGGGAATGAGAATAATGCTGGAGAGTAGCCTGGTTGCTGTCATTGGGCCCAAGATGATGCCAATGAGCTTCTTTCATTGCTAACAGCTCACAGTGGATTTTGAGACGGACTCTGGGTGGAAGGGAGGGCTCTAGGAAGAGCTAAGATTCTGAAATTTGCAGGTTGGGGGAGAGATTGTAATGCAGTCAGACATGTTACAGGGGGCGGGTTTAGGGGGTGGGAAGCCAATAATAGAGTAGGAGAGCGAATTAAGTGTGAGGTTCAGAGGTACAGTATGGGTGTGATAACACATATGCTAGACTTGGTGTCCTCTTACCAAAGATTCTGGACAACATGGTTCTTGATGACCCTCCAGAGTAGTTGATGGTAGAGCAGCAGGACAACTGGGTGTGGGACCGTAGACTGTGACTTCTATAGACAAGAGAAGGACAGGGCTGCCAGAAAGAGAGGTGCATGAAGAGTCATAGTTGCATGAAAGAAAAAAACACATTAACATTTTAATAAATTGTTCCTGAACAAGTTCCAAGTGATTTCCATCTTCCCAGATATCTCAAAGCCTCAGGGTGAATACTACTTAGGAACCTTTCCAAGTTGTGTTGTGTTTTTATTTGAACATGGCTCCAGGGAAACCCAGTTAGCAAAGACTTGTTGGCACGTCACCCACCAAATGCTGGCTTGTCCTAGACTTCCCACATACTGGCACATAATCCACCTCCAAACCCGCACTATCTATAATTCTTCTGAGTTTTTTAGGGGAAATTATGAAGTTTCAGCATGATCTAGAAGAAGAGCAGGGCCTGCAGGTAGGGAGAATAAAAAAGGAACTGATAGACGTACGATAGACCCTCTGGGATTCATAAAACCGACTGAAAGGGCACCTTGTAGAGTGCCTGGTCCAAAGAAAGGCTCCATCCATGATTCTCACTGTTATTGTATTGTCACCATCACTGTTGTTGCCACAAGATAATAAGTGAGTTATTCCATGGCCCCTCTGTCTCTGCTGCCCCCCACCCCCCACCTCCTGCCATGTCACAGTGAATAGGTTGGGAAGGTGAAAGAGAGGAGGCAGAGACTTTCAGACCTGGTAAAGCTCATGGTTAGTGGAGGGACTCCCTCCTCTTATTAAGTGTATGTGCAGTACTTTAGTATGAGAGGTCCATGCATTTACATGTATTAGCCCTCCTCTCTTAATTTGGCAGGTGTCTGTGTGGGTTGGTATATACATTGGCAGGTTTCCTTAATGTGTCCTCTTCCCCACGCACCTGTCAGGAGTCCCACCTGTGGAGACTCACCTCCCATTTACACAGCACAGCTGCTGGGGGCACAGCCCTGGGGGAACTCTGCTCCTCTTTCCTAAATGAATGAGCTTAGTGCTTCATTCGTAATTCTCAACCTACAGGCAAGGAATTCCTGACTAAAATAGAAAGCCCCCGATAAACAGCACAACTGACTTCGAAGCAAAACCATAAGCTATTCCTAGAGGACTTCATGTCTGTGTAATCAAATAGTCGACATAGAAATCCCACAGAAGCTCCTGTGGAGCCAGAGGCACAGCTGAT